TGATAAACAGCGGGTGGATCAATACAATACCAGCGTGTGTGTGAGGAGGAGGAAGAGGAGGAGGGGCAGGAAAAAGTGGAGCTAGTGAATTATCACGAGGTCAAATCCAGATTTGAAGTTGGTAAGAGCTGAAGAAATGATAACGGTTATCTCTGTTAGCAGCTCGTGTTTCGTTACCTGTCATATAATAAGAATAAGAATAAGAATAAGAATGAGAGAGATTATTTATAACCGACTGACCACCCACCTTGAACAGAGAAGGGAGGGAAACAACCATCTGAGAAACTTAAAAATAGTTGTTTATCCCTCTGCCTCCTGTTTGAGAGAGCGAGAGAGCGAGAGAGTTCCCAACTGGAACTCTCCGAAGGGAAGGAAAAAAGAGGCGTTGGGCCATTCCTTCCAGTCCCTAAAGATGGACAGACTGGACTGGACTGGACTGGACTGGACTGGTAAAACCAGTAGGGAGAATGAAATGAAGTGACATGGTAGGGTAGGTAGGGAATGGAGTTGGGGGTGGAGAGGGACGTAGAAGGAGAGAGATTGTTTTTGATTTGTCTCACACGTATAAGTTCGTATGTAGTGCCTGCTGCGACAGGCGACACACGCGTTGCCGGAGGGGAGGGAGTGGAGTGGAGTCGATGAGACAAGGAGAGAAGAGAAGGTTATGATTTGTTTGATTTGATTTAGTTTCGTAATCTTTTCACATTTGTTCTTGTGTTCTTGTGTTTCTCGTAGTTAAAAGATTGTACGCCCGGGAACCGGAGGTATTATTATTACTATTATTATACATCCCATCCCATCCCACGGACAACTTTAACTATAAACTATAAACTATAAACTAAGAAGATAAACCACAAATTACAACAAAGTGAAACCACAAACTGTCCGTGCTTCTCTTTTTTTTGATTTCATAATTTGGTTATTGGTTTCATTTGACGCAGGTCGATTCGATTCGATTCGATTCGACCACACCAAAACAAAACAAAACAGACTCGACTCGACTTGACTTGACTTGTTTTCGTTCATATTATCTGATCTGATCTGATCTGATCTTATTCGAACTAATTCGAACTGAACTGGACTGCACCAGTGCTAGCTCACTCCAAAATCATCTTAAACATTTCTATTACATAGCTATTACTACAACAACAACAACAACAACAACAATTGTTCACTTCGTTTGCCTGCTTCAGACTCTCTTTATTCTGTTCTGTTCTATTCATACCTTTCCTTTCCTTTCCTTTATTTTATCTTGCCTTGCCTTGAAATCAGCATATTTAGTCTTGGTGCATTTATCACACAAAGAAGATCCTGAATTAGGTCAATCTCTATCGTTTGCTCGCTCTCTCGTCGCTCTCTTCTAAATACATCATCGAAATAAGTTACAAGATTTCTTTATCTCACTCTGCTGTCAAACAAAGACTAAGACTAAGATTAAGACTAAGATCGAAATTGAAAATAAAGTGAAAAAATTAAAATCAAGACCAAGACCAAGACTAAAACTACGATACTGGTATTCACCACTATATCATATTGCATTGTGTCGATACTCTCTTATTATATTAGACTGTGTGATCTCATCCCATCACATCACATCCATAAGCAAGAAAGTTTCGCAATCAATCGAGAATAGTTATATCCTTTTTTTTTTCTTATATATACAATTTTTCTTTTTTTTTTCTTATTGTTATTATTTCATTTTTTTTTATTATTTCAGTTTTTTTTTTTCTTTTGGTTTGTCACAACTTAATACTTTGAATTTACTATTTAATAAACTGGTTTAACAATTATTATTTAGTTGTTTCTTTGTTTTGGCTTCCATTAATATCCTTTATCTACTCTTTTCCTCTTTTTTTTTGCCTTTCTTTATTTCCCTCTCTTTGAATTTTGTTTTTCCAATCAAATCAAGAGCAAGTGCAGCAACTAGAAGGATCAAAATCAAAATCAAAATCAAGATCAAGAATAAGATAAATTTCAGAAAACAAACATTAAAAAAATTTGAGTAGATTGAATTAAAAAGCAAACAATCATTATAAATCAATTCATTACACACACCAAATCTCAACCCATTGATACTACATCTTTGTTCAAATAATACTATTTCCTTATTTCAACTGAAAATTCACTCATCACCATACTTTTAATCTAAAAAATAACAAAACATGTCGTCTTCTCTAAGGGTGTTGATCATTGGTGATAACCCAAATGTAGTATTATACGCATCAAGATTCCAATTAGCTAAAAGTATCATGCTATACCATGTTAACAATTTGAAAAATTCAATCGTAGAAATTGAAACTTTATCTTATCCAATGGAAAAATTCGAATTGAAAAATCATTTTAACTCAATACCAACTATGATAGACTCAATAATAAAAAATGAAAATAAAGATAATTCAAACGATTTATTCTTCGATTTGATCATTTTAAGTTGTCACTCATTGCAAGAATTATCCTCTTTGTCAACTGATTTGAACAAAATTATTAATAAGAATACAAAGATTATTATAGAAAGTAGTGGCTTCGTACAATTGGAACCATTCGTTAAAATGTCTTTGGATATACAAAATTTACATGTATTTAGCGTTCTATCAGATTACGATATCCGTGAAATTTCAACAAACAAATTTCAACAATTCCCAAATAATAACAATAATGACAATTCAACTAAAAATAACATATATTTAGGTTCAACCCAACCTTCAAATATTAATAAACTTTCAACTTCTTCTTCAACTACCTCAATTAAATACCCAGATAATGTCATCACTTTACTTGAAACATTCGAAAGATTATTCAAAAAATTATTCCCAAAGGATACAATCGATTTATGCAATTGTTCAGAGAATAATTTCTTATCAAAACAATGGACTTTTGCTATACCAAGAATTTGTTTCGATTCTTTATTAATCATATTGGGTGAAAAAAATCCAATCGAATTGCAAAACCAAATCCTTGCAAAACCTCTAATCTCCGGTTTAGTAACTGAATTGATCACTGTAACAAAATCAATGGGTGCAAAATTACCATCATTTATGGTTAATGAAAACAGTTTGTTGGAATATTGGCAAAATTTATATGCAAATGATGATATCCCAAACTTAGTTTACCACTTCATAAACAGAAGATCCTCCTTAAATATAGACGTATTATTGTTGCAACCAATCCTTTTGGCTGATGATAATGGTATTAAAACTCCTTATTTGGAATTCCTATATTCTGTCATTTGTCAATATGATAAATTTAATAAAGGAGAATCTCAATGGTTTATTAGATCCGATGATGTCACAGTAAAAGAAAACGAGATAGACAATTTAAACATTGATATTCAACAATTAAGAGAAAATATCGAAAGTTTGAAATTAACAATTCAAGAAAGAGATAATACTATCGATCAATTGAAAAATATCGAAAATCAAAATAAATTAGAACAAGACCAATTACAAAAACAAATTACCTTCATGAGAACAGAATTGAATGTTCAAGCTAAAAAACATGAAATCGAATTATTAGAAGCTCAAAGTCAAGAAGTTAACAACGGAGTCCAACAATTGTCAATGGATATGGAAAAAACACCAATGAGGGCTTCAAATGGATCTCAAGTTCAAAAAGTCCAAGAAATGGAGTACACTTCTTCTGGAACACCTATCTTGAATGATTTAGAAGAATTTGCCTCTTATGGCGTGCCTTATGGAACTCCTGAATCAAATAATATCAATAATGAACTAGTCAATTCCCAAAAAAACGCTACAGCTGAAACCGATGGTCCAATCTTGGTAGAAGATGAAATTAATTCAAACTTACCAGAGGATGAAAGGGGTATTAAGAAACGCGAATTGGAATTAAAAAGGAAAGAACTAGAATTGCAGGAACGCGAATTAGAATTCCAAAAGAGATATTTCCAACAACAAAAACACTTTCAACCTTCACAGCAAATGCCTCCACAACAAATGCCTTCACAGCAAATGCCTTCACAACAAATGCCTTCACAGCAGATTCCACCTCAACAAATCCCACCTCAACAAATCCCACCTCAGCAAAGACATACAATGATGCAAATGAATGGGAACCAAACTGTATTACAACCACCAATGAGCACACAAAGTAGAAAATCTTCATACTCACAAGCGCAACAACAGATGAGCTCCCGTTCCACAAGATCTATGTATGGTGCTTCAAATTCATTTGCTGGATCATTTTCAGAAGTTAGTAGTGGTAGTATACCCAACTCATCTAGTGGAAATTTCCAACAGAATAATGGCAGCCAAGCATATGGCCAATTTCCTTCTCATTCTATCAAGCCTACCAGCAGAAAGAATCGTAACAGTAACTTTACTAATTTGGGCCATGCTTCTAGTTTAGGCTTGAGCAATATGAACACGGCTAAAAATGCCAGTCAATCAAGACTGACATCAATGTCAACATCCAGTTTGCCAAGTCAAAATAGAGGTAGACAACCAATGATGAACAATAATAACAATCCAAATTCTTTACCAAGAATGAATATGCCAAATCCTACAAAACAGAGTCAAAACACATTTATTATTGGAAATCAACCGTTGGCAAATGGATCAACTCCAGTACAATTGAGACAATACTCGGCAGGTGCTGTTGATACCAGCATTGCCAATACCTCAATGAATACCGTTGTTCATAATCCTATGAGCAACAGCGTAAACAATGGAAGTGGAGAAACCTCTTTTACAAGTGCTAATACTAGCCACAGTAACCCTACAAATGGCGATGACCCTAGTACGCCAACACTAAATCAAAAATTCACAATTCCAAATATTAACGTCACAACTGCAACACCAAATATCAACAGTGGTAGTGATAGCTTTATGAACACTTTTCCACCTTCTGGCACACCTCCATTAACTGAAAATAAAGATACTGAATCTGAGAAAGAAAAAGAACCAAAGGAACAGAAAAAGAAGAAGTTTAAACTTTTTGGTAAGAAGAAATAGGTGTAAATAGAAAAATTATACATAAAGTATACAAATGACTTTACATTATAAAAGACGACATGTTAATATTAAAGTTATAAGGATTCTATGAAAAAAATAAACATCCATGTTTCAATTACATTGGATAAATGTCAACCTTAGATATTAACTTTTAATGGTTTACGAATGTGTACATTAAATTAATTTAAAATATATATCTATATATATATATATATTTATAATAAGATTTTTAAAAATCTAAAATCTATAAAAATCAAAGTTTTTGATTCATTATATCCACATATGACTCAGTTTAATAATGTAAACTATTCGACCTTGTCCTCATAATATATATTTGGCTTCACATTCTTTAATTCCCGTTATTATAATTGAAGTCTAGTTATAAGTCGAATTTTGATATTTCTAGTCGTTTATCACCTTTTAGATCAATCGGCCGGAGAAACTCCGTATAGAAAATTAAAATATTAATTTTATATTTAAACTTAAATAATAATATTTTAATTTCTAACCTATTATTCTATCTGTGCTGTACAGATATCCATATTTAGTAAAATAATTCGAAACAATTGAATACAGATGCTATTACATTTAAGAAATTTACAATGCAAATCAGCTGCCACATCATTTCCATATATAATAAACCCATTTTTTAAATCTCGTATAGTACCAAGAGTTATCTTGAGTAGCACCAAACATTATTCAGATTCATCTGCTATCAACAATCAAGAATCTAATACTAAATATAAACATAAAAATGACATATTGCATAAAATTATATCAAAATCAAGGTTATTACAGAAGTTAAATAGACATCCAAAGTTTGCGAATTATTTTGATGAAATATCTGAGACAGGAACGATTACCACACTAACTTCTTTTTTGATACTTCATGAAGCCACTGCTATCCTTCCATTATTTATTATTTGGTGGTTTATGTATGGGTTAGATATGCCAGAACATACTGAATTACCTGGATTTCTATCAAGTATTATGGAAAATTGCAATGCGTTTATAGAGAAATTTGTCGGAAAAGACAAATTTGTCAATTTAGATAGAAATAAACTTATCATGACAGGTACATTATCATACATGATAGTGAAATTATTATACCCAGTAAGAATTTTATTCAGTTTATGGGCCGCTCCATATTTTGGGAAATGGCTTTTAATGCCAGTGAAGACATTAAGAAAATTAATCTTTAAAAAATGATTTTTTAATTTATTTAAATGATAGATATTATACAAGTTAATTTAACGATACTGCATGCTATTAGTCTATATATTGATTGTTTTATTTCTTAGAACGCTTCTTCTTACGTTTGAAACCAATTAAACGCTTTACATCATCAGAAACTTTTGAATCCTTATCATCAGTCTTAGCCGATTCTCTATCTTCAAAACGCTTTTGATTCTTGAAATCACCTCTCTTATCGTAGGTTTTACTGTCATCAAAACGCTTCTGTTTCTTGAAATCACCTCTCTTATCGTAGGTTTTACTGTCATCAAAACGCATCCGTTTCTTGAAATCACCTCTCTTATCATAGGTTTTACTATCATCTACTTCGTCTGAATTTCTCTTTACATAATTCCTAGCCTTATCCACATTCTCTCTTCTTCTTTTTATGACATTTGCATTTTCAATGGCAAACTCGACACACAATCTTCTACCTTTCAAATTTTCAGGGTCCAATGCCTTTTTTTCCTCTTCAGTTAAGCCATCTAGAATTTCACCTTTAGTGACTTGGTGTACATTTAACCATCTTAAACCCATTAATGCGCTTTTATGATCTCTATATTCAATAAAACCGTAACCTCTACTTCTACCAATTGTCGAACCTTTTACTTCCATAATGACTTTAGCTTGTCTCACTACACCACGTTTAGAATCTTTTTTCTTTTCTCTTTGGATTTCTTCTTCTGACATGAACTTATATTTTTCTTTGGTAGACCTGGAAATTTCCTCTTTACTTAAAGGATGTCTTTCACCATCTTTGACTTCTGTAGCAAATTGAACAATACCTTTACGACCCAAAGCCTTCAAAGATTTATCATTCATGGCTCTTGGTAAGTTTCTGATAGCCAATCTTGTCATAGACAAATGAAGAGATGGGTTCTTCTTCAATTGCTCAACTCTTAAATTGTATGATTTCTCTCTGATTTCCATATCCTTTGTACTTAACAAAGAAGCTAATTTAGATCCTTCAACAACTTTACCTTCATTCAATAAATATAAATTTCTTTTATCACGTTCGCCTGGAGCTTTACCAAAAACTTCCTTTCTTTTAGAAGCATTGTGTTCAGCCATTTTATTGGCCTCTTCTCTTTGTAAGGTTGGTGAAACAGATAGTACACGTCCCTCGTAAACATATTCAGGTAAAACGTCATCATCAATCAATAATGATGTAGCACCTGCAGCTGGAGCATTGTTTACACAGAATGTATAAGTCTTTTCATCTTTGAAGGCAACAAATGCGGTACCCTTTGCTAAACCAGTTTCCTTGTCAACAACTGGTAGTGCATATTTAACAGGACCGAATTTACTGAAGTGCTCCGCTAAAGATTCTTCAGTAGCATCATATGGAACATTACGAACAAAAATAGAAAAATCATCTCTTCTATTCTTTTGGATTCTATCTTGTTTTTGAGTATTTTCCTTCGATTCCTCCTCTCCTTCTTCACTGAGCTCTTCATCTGAATTCATTTCGACATCTTCTGATTCATTTGATTCATCATCTGAGCCCTCTTCGGATTCTTCTTCTTCTGATTCATCTTGTTCTTCATTTCTGGGATTGTTAGATTTGTAATCTTCCCATCTATTCTTTTGGACGGCAAAATCAACAGCTACTGATCTACCATCAATTTTTAGATCCTTACTATTTTCCAAAGCTAACTTACAGTTACTGATCTTCTTCATAGTAACGAATGCGAAACCACACAGTTTACCATCCCTTTTTCTAGGAATATGAGCATCTACAACTGTACCAAATCTACCAAAAATTTTGATCAACTTAGTTGGATCCCTGCAACTCCATGGCATATTTCTAATAATCAATTTTGGTTTACCTTT